GGGGGAAAGGGGGACATCTGTAATACTTTCAACAGTAAAGATAACTTTTAAAAATGGTTAAAATAGTAAATTTTATGTTATATGTTCTTTACCACAGTTTTTAAAAAAAGAAAAAACCTACAAGAAAACTAGAAGAAAATATAGGCGAAGGTGAAGAGCATTCTATAAATAAAAGCAATGGCAGAAAACTATAAAAGAATAGATAGGGGTGGGGTAAGGAGTTGTTTAATGAGTATTGAGTTTCAGTTTTGCAAGAAGCAAAAGTTCTAGAGATTCATTGCACCACAATGTGAATATACTTAGCACTACTGAACTGTACACTTAAAAATGGTTAAGATAGTAAATTTTGTTATGTTTTTTACCACAATATTTTTCAAAAGGAAAAAAAACAAGTATAAACACACACACACGCATACATATATATGCTCAGAGAAGTGTCATTCCCTCTTTCTCCCTGCTAACCGTGTTCCCATTCCACACTTACTTCCACCCCTTTTCCACCACTATTCTCCCTCCCCTTGTATTTAATCAGTCTCTTTCATTTCTGATTTAGCCCTCCTGTAGTATACTACAGATACTCTTTGTGGCTTTACTTTTTTCAGTATTTTCTGGAAATCATTTCTTATCTGTTCATAGAAGTCTCCCTCATTATTTTTTTTTTTTTTTTACAGCTGCATGGTCTCTTACATGTGTACATGTGCCATATATTCAACATCTCTTTGTATATATGGGCATTTCGGTTGTTTCCAATATTTGGCAATTACAGACATGCTGCAGTATGTATATATTTTTGTGTTGTTAGTTATTTATCTTCAGAGTAGATTTTTAGAAATGGGATTTCTGGGACAAAAGGTAAGTACATGTCTGGTTTTGTCAGATATTGCCATAGTCCCCTCCAGAAGGGTTACATCCATTTGCATTCCCAACAGAATTATATGAGAGTGCTTGTTTCCCCCACAGCCTCACCAATGGAATGTGATGTCATATTTTTCCATTTTTTATGAATATGATAGGTGAGAAATACTATTTGTGTTGTTTTAACTTGTATTTCTTTAATTATGAGTGGGCTTGAGCATTTTTTCATGTTTCAGGGCTACTTTTATATCCTTTTCTGGTGAATTGTCTGTTCATGTGTCCCATTTTTCTACTGAGTTTTTTATCCCTTGGCCCTTTTTCTAAAAATTGTGGTAAAATATACAAAATAAAATTTACCACTTTAACCATTTTTAAGTATGTGATTCAAAATGTTGAAACCTGTATAATCTTAATCTTACTAACCAATGTCATCTCAATAAATTTAATTTTAAAAAGTAAAGTGGATTTGAGGTGGAAAAAAGAATATTCACAACACTGAGCAACCATCACCAGCATTTATCCTCAAAACTTCTTAATCTTGCAAACTGGAACTCTGTACACACTTATCAATAACTGCCCATTTCTCCCTCTTCCCAGCCCCTGACAAACGTCATTCTACTTTCATTTGATTACTCTAAGTACCTCATATGGGGGGAAATCATACAATATTTGTATTTTGTAATTATCTTGTTTCACTTAGCATAATGTTCTCAAGATTCATCCATGCTGTACATCTGTCAGAATTTCCTTCTTTTTTAAGGCTAAATAATATTCTGTTGTATGAATATACCACATTTTGTTTATACATTTATCTGTCTATGGACATTGTGTTGCTTCCACCTCTTGGCTATTGTGAATGCTGCTGCTGTGAACATGGGAGTGCAGATATCTCTTTGAGACTCTGATTTCAATTCTTTTAGGTATATACCCAGAAGTAGAATTGCTGGATCAAATGGCATTTCTATTTTTAATTGTTTGAGGAAACTCCATACTGTTTTCCATAGCAGTTAGACCATTTTACAATCCCTCCAACAGTGCACAAAGTTTCTAATTTCTCCACATCCTCCTCACATCCTAAACAACATCTGTTATTTCCTGGGTTTGTTTTTGTTTGTTTTTTTATAGTAGTCATCCTAACGGGTATGCAGTGATCTCATCGTGGTTCTGATTCACATTTCTCTGCTCTGATTATATCTTTCTGTATAACTCTGACTTAGATCATATTTCACATACCCTTCACATATCCAAAATGTAAACAATTAAAACCAACCAAGACGTAGAGGGAACTCAAAATGAAATACAAACACTGACTGTGGGAGATAGTACCTTGCCTGGATACTCTAAGCCTAAGGACAAAAAGAACTATACATAAATGCTGTAATCTAGTTCATACAAGTGTTTCTCACAGGGGTATGGGCTAGCAATTCTGAAACTACTTTATGTGTATACCAGAACAGAACAAGAATGACAGCTGGTTTCTCACTGTTGGAGAAAGAAGTTTATAAAAGGAGAGGAAGGCTAAAATGAACCCTGCAGTGTTGGATTGGAATCAGAGGTATCAGTATAAAATCATGATTTCTAACATACAGGGTAGGGCAAAAGTAAGTTTACAGTTGTTTGTATGGAAAATAATACAATAATTAGTAAATGATAATACAAAAATAAATTCTGTTTCATGTACTCACTACTGTAAACCTATGTTTGTTCCACCCTGTATATACAGGTACATAGATGTCAAAATATAGATATGAGTGTATAAGTGAGTTACTATGCATACAGATATTTCCTAGCATTACCCACTGAGGGGGCCTAGAAGTAGTGACACCTCAGTAACAATGAGCACACCTAAGTGCCCAGATCTGGTTTCTAAACACCATTTTGCAATTAAAAAAAATACCAGGGCTCTTTGGAGATATGGTTGATTCCAGAACTGGGGTGGTGAAAATACAAGATAGGTGCGGAATATTTTGTGGAAATGCTCAAAAAGTTGAGGGTATGTTAAAGAACATAAAAGCCACCCTAAAGGAGCTCCTAGCAGACAAAGCAGGAACAATTTAAGTCATAAAACAAATAATGATAGTATTGGATATTAACCCATAGAATAAAATAAATACCCATGAGTCTACATGGATATAAATAAAAAATCAATGAATAAATGGGAGATCAGAGACAGTTCTTCCTCATAGTAGAATTCCAATGAATAAATTTCTAAGGCCAGAACCCATGCTCTTCCTATTACATCAGGCTACCTCAAAGCCAACTAGCTAAATCCAAAACAGTCAGCAAGTTTGGTAAGATCCCTACCTTGACACCAATGCTATCAGAAACTTTAATATATCAGGGGAAAACAACTATCAGGAGAAATAGCTTCTGCTAGAGTATACATTTAAAATTAATATATGGCCCTGGCCAGTGTGGCTCAGTGGTTATAGTGCTGGTCTGCAGTGCTGGTCCGCAGACCGAAGGATCATGAGTTTAACTCCAGTCAAGGGCACGTACCTGGGTTGCAGGTTGTATCCCCGGCCTTAGTTGGGGCACAGGTGGGTGGTAATCAATTGATGTGTCTCTCTCACATTGATGTTTCTCTCTCTCTCTCTCCCCCTTCCTCCATCCCTTCCACTCTCTCAAAAAATCATTGGAAAAGATATCCTTGAGGGAGGATTAAATCAAAATAATAAATTAACATATGGCTCTTACTTTATAGATCCAGGCAGGGTGCCTCCATGGGCTTGTAGCAATAAGACCTGTAGCTGCTGTACCTGAGAAATGCAAAGAAAAATAGTCACCAATCAAAAGCTACTTATCCCTTTATCAGTGAAATTACCACAACATCAGTGGGGTAATTTTACTCAATGCACAGGAAATCTAAGGCATATATTAGGTATTACAGGCAGCATCAGGGTTGATGATTCAATGATAAAAGAACAATCAATGTTACATGAATAACTAGTATTTAGAAGATGAGCTGCCCCTTTTACCTAAGTATCTTAATTACTTTTATTGAGCATCTATTTTTTAAAAAAAGTCAAACTCAGCCCTGGGCTAGGCAATGTGAAGGGGAATATGAGATTAAATTCTTGTGGTTTATTCTCAAGCTTACAATCTAATTGAGGAAGACAAGTATAAGGCCTGAAGTAGTAGTAGGAAATAATAAAAGACAGAAGATGCTAAGTCATCAAGTATAGTTAGGTACTTTAGGGTTCTGAGAAGAAACAAATGAATGGAATACCAAAACAGTCAAAAGGAGGCTTCATGGGGATGGATCTCAAATCAGAGTGCATGTGCAACCATCCTCTCCTATTCCTTCCTATGACAGAAGAGGTGCTGTTCTGCCTCCTACAACCAGTCTCCTCACTTGTGCTTTGGACCCCAATTCTTCTTGCCTCCTGATGAATCTTACTCTGTTCATTATCCCTTCTCTCTTCTCTATCTTTGACTTCTCCTTTCTACAGGATACTTCCTATTAAGATTAAAACATGTTCAAGTTTTACCTATCTTAAAACAAAAGCATGCTTCCCAATCCCACTTCCTATCTCTTTTGCCCTATTTTTCTCCTTCACAGAGTTTTAGAGAATAGTCTATACCCATTGCTTCGATTTCCTTTTGTTCACCTCTCTCACTTGCTCCCCAATCTCAATGTTGATATCTGCCCACAGTATTCCACTTAAATACTCTTGCTAAGGTCACCAATGATCTGCATGTCACTACACCCCAAGGGCATTGTTCAGTCTTCATTTTACTTGACTATTTAGTAGTATTTGGCTTACCAGAAACCATGCTTTCCTGCTTTTCCTTCTATTCTTCCAGCTGATCTTCTAAGTCTCTTTCTTGGTGTATCCCCGCTCCAATTGTCCTTTAAATGGTAAGGTTCCTCAAAGCTCATTATGAGTCTACTCGCTTTACACTCTCTCATTAAAGCCTCAACTCTGACTATGGCTTCAATTACCATCTACAAACCAGTGACTGCCAAAATGTATCCCAAACACAGATCTTTCTGAAATTAGACCCATATATTCAACTATCCACTTAATATTCCATTTGTTTGTCTGCTATCTCCAAACCTGTCCCTTCTCCAGTGAATCCCAGGTCAGGGAAAATGTTTCATACTCCAGAAATCTGGGTGCCACACTCTCATCCCCTTAACTAACCCACTGTTCACTTCTTTTTATCACCACCACCACCCTAAATCTAAGCCACCATTATCTCTCACTTGGAACACTGCAATAATTTCTCAGGTGGTCTCCATGAATCTACTCTTCCTCCAATGAAATCCATTTCCACATAGGGCCAGACCATCTTTTAAAAATGTAAATTATCAATCATTTAAAAAAATTTTTTCTTTATTGTTGAAAATATTACAGATGTCCCTTTTTCCCCCATTAACTCCTTCCATCCTGCCCCACTCCCCACCCCAGGCCTTCACCACACTATTGTCTGTGTCCATGGGTTAAGCATATATGCATATAATTGTCCATGGGTTATGCATATATGCATATAAGTTTTTTGGTTAATCATTATCAATCATTTTTAACAGTCCAGGAGGCTTTGATCAGGCCTCTGCTTTTCTCTAGTTTAATACTGGAATACTCTTTCCTTGCTATCTCCACTCAAAGGATGTGCACTGGCGCACTTTCAGTTCTTCATATGCACTATACTTCTTCCTAACTCAGGACCTTTGTAGACTTGCTATACGCCTGCTACTGTTCTAAGTATTTTATGTGTATTAACTCAACCCCCACAAAAATCCTATGAAGCAGTACAATGATTATTTCCTATTTATATATAGAGAACCTGAGAAACAGAGAACTTGTCCAAGGTACATAGCTAGTGAGTTATAGAGCCAGGATTTGGACTTGGGCAGTCTGGCTGCAGTGTCACTATACTTTGCTTTTAACCCCTATACTTTGCTACACATCCTATTTCTTCTCCCTGGAATCCTCTTCCTTCTTTTCTGCATACATAATTCCTACTCAATCCCTCAGATCCCAGCTCAAATGTTGCTACCTCAGAAAGCCTTCTCAGATTAGATATATAACAGAAAATCCGATTCCATACTTTCACAGAACACTATCTCAGTTTATAAGGATATGTGTTTAGTGTCTGTCTCTCCCATAGGTAATTAAGTTCCATGAAGGCAGCAACTATGTCTGCTTTGCTCAACAATGTATCCCAGCATAGTACCTGGCACATAATAGTGTTCAATAAACATTTATTGTTGGAATTAATGAAAAAAATAAATGACTAGGAAGAAGAGCATTTTGGGCAATAAGCATACACATGAAAGAAAATAGAGAGACAGAACTGAGTGTGGTATTTTATAATTTAGATGATACTGTGAACAGGTAAATACATGTATTTTCTATTGTGACCCCTTAGCAGAGAAGGAGATAAAGGAGAAGGGGAGGGAAGAAAAGAGATTAACTGAATAGTAGTCATCATTGAGAAGGAAGGCCGGAGGTGGAGTAAGCACTGGACAGTTGGGAAACACTAGATTCCCAGTGGAAAGAGTATTATACCCTGGAAGGCAAGAAAACGTCACAACTCAAGCATGAATTAATCCAACTACCTGCCTTCTCAGCTCCTCTATCAGGGATACTGAGCTGCTGCACAACCAGTCATGATGACACTACCACAAATTCATGCCTATAGTTAACTACCTCTTCTGTTTCTGTGATTTCAAGTCTTTTGTGGTCTCCTCAATCCCTCTACCCTATTATCTGCTTGCTTGCTCTTAGATGACCTTGCCTCCTACTTAACTAAGAAGATAAAGGTCATCAGGATGAAAATCCTTCAATTTCCCTTCTTTTCCCTCTAAATTAGTGTCACTGTATTATTCCTATCCTAACCTCTTCTTCTAGTCTTGGGGCAGGTATCCCCTCTATTATCTAAAGCAAATCCATCTTTATTCGTGCTCAGAACCTCAACTACTTAGAGATGATGGCTCCTTACCAACTAGTCCCTGTTCTCAGTTTCAGTCTCTCCCAACTAATTCTTTCCCTTGTTCAAGTCTCTTCCATATTTTAAAAACAAACCTACATCCCTTGAACCTCAACTACTACTTCTTGTCTTCTTTTATCTTGTCTTCTTGAAAGAAGAGCCTATCAACTTCCTCTGCTTACTTATCTAGCATTCACTGTCTATCCGACAGCATTCTGCTCTTTTACTTAGCAACTCTACTTACATGTCTCCCCAAGCACTTCAAATTTTAAAAATTCAAACTGAGTCTCATCATTTTCTACCTGACCCTGTTTTTCAAACTGTATTCCCTGACTCAATGACTGGTACTACCATTTATTCAATTGTCCAAGCAAGAAATCTGGGAATTAACCTTGATTATCCTCACCTGCCCTTCCACATCAAATCTGTACCAAGTAAGCCCTATACATTCTACTTCCTTGTGTGTTTTTTCTAATTTGTCCCCTTCTTTCCATCTCTATTGCTATTATCTTTAGTTCAGGCCTGAATTATTATAACAGCCTACTTTATTTTCCCATTTCTAGTCATGCCCACCTGTAATCCACTTTCTTTAGGCTTGCTAGAGTGATCTCCCTAAAACATACATTTCACCATGTCGCCTTGTCACTTAAAATCTTTCAATGGCTCTCCATAGCTCTCAGGTTGAGTTCTAAGTTCTTTAACAAGTCATGTGAGGACCTTCAGGATTTGATTCCTGCCTACCTCTCGTCTTATTTCTCAATGTTCACTTCTTTATCAGTGAAATCTCCAATGCCACCCCTAATCTTAAATATGACAACCACGTTAATAGGAATAAGAATTCCACAAACTAACGTAACACTTAATCAGTACCTCTAAACTTCTGGTAGAGGAGAAGCTAAGAAATAAAAGCAGCTCTATTATTCTACTCACATTCTTCTAATTTTTCTCATCAAATTTTAAGTCCCTTATACCTGTTGCTTCAGATGATTAAGTTCAGCTGTCCGGGGATCAATATTAACAACAGGTTTATTCTTGATTTTTCTTGCTCTGTCAGCATAGCGAAGGGTATTTAATGTTTCTTCTAGATTGGAGTCAGCAGGACTCACACAAGCTATCATAAGAGTGTGGCTATTACCTCCTAGAGAATCTGAAAAAGAACAATGGCAGGAAATTAAATCAAACAAGTAAAATGCAAACAAAGCTGTCTATATGGGCTGGTGACTTCAAAATCAGAGCTGTAAGGGGAAAAAAGTGAGTGTCTACAAATTTCCTATTTGTGACAATATAAAAACACAAAGATTTTTGATGTATAAAATAATAATAGTTTAAAATACTATTGCATATGTCCTCATTCTTGGGAGAGACTGTGATTTCAGTAGTTAATCAGGTTAAAACAACAGGTTAAAGCCCAAGTAAGTCAGGAGCCACTATTGGGATTAAACATTCTTGGGATGCCCCCATTAGGTAGATTTTAACTCTTCAGGGAATTCTGTTTATCAGCACTAATAAAGAGTAACCAAGTTCATTTTTAGATACAAAGTACTAAGTACAGTTGGTATTCTGCAGACTTCTTGGCTTTCAAACTATATATGAAGACATATTTCCATTATTTTACAAGCCTGCTTGCCAACAGGTCTCTTTCCTATTTATCAATTAGACAGCTCTGTATGTGATAGTCCAAAAATCTGTTTTTTTAACCTATTCCATTTCTGCTTTCTCAGCACTATCATAACTACTCTCTCTTATGTTTAGAGGCACTTTATGCTTACCTTGAAGCAGTCGAGTCAACTTGGAGTCTCTATAGGGCACAAAGCCACCCTTTTTGTCATCTCCGAGAGCACTGATCACATTTCCCAAGCATAGGAGTCCTCGGTTAATATTAATACCTAATAGCAGGAAGTAAAATTTAAAGTGCTTGGTAAAGCATCAAACTTATTACCTACATTTATCCTAAGAAAGGTAAAAGAATTAAAGACCCCTTAGAAATATTCACTTATCAATCTTAAGGAAACTTCTTAACCTGTTCACTTTTCTTAGAGTGCCTCTTTAAGTAAAGTTCAAAGGACAAAGGTCCAAACCTTGGATATACACAACTGAGTCTGTTGGTACTACTCATCCTTTCCCATGGCAACAAAGCAGACAGACAGATAACTATCACTATGTCAACCACCACTTGCATAGTTATTTACTTTCTATATCCATTATCACACTTAATCCTTAGATTAATTCCGTGAAATTAGATTAACAGCTATTTTTTAATCATCTTATCATTACTAAAGTGCCTGCAGAGGGACAATAATGATGAAGAGAGTGATAAGAACAGCTAAGTTTATATAGTGTTTACTATAAGATAGACACTGTTTTAGGTACTTTATACAGGGGTGGCCAAAAGTAGGTTTATAGTTGGTTGTATGGAAAATAATACAATAATAAATAATAATACAAGAACAAATTCTGTTTCACGTACTCACAACTATAAACCTACTTTGGCCACCCCTGTACATATTAACTCATTAAACCCTCACAGTAGTCCTATAAAGTATGTATAAACTATGATTATCCCTAGATTGACAGATATGAGAGTTGAGGCACAAAGAGGTAAGGTAACTTGTCTAATATCACGCAGCTAATATGTGGAAGAGCCAGATTTCAAATGTAGGCAGCCTGGCTCCAAAGTCCATGGTCTTAATCTCTATGCTCTATGGAAATAAGCTACATTGCTCACTTAAAGGCAGCAGGTACCTTGGAAAGAGAAGAACCTTGAAGCTAAAGATAGGTAATTGACAGAAAATGTATATAAAGAACTCTTGAACTCTGAAGTCTCCCCTCCAGAGCCATGCAACTACTTTCTCTCCATTCTCAATCATTCCCAGTCTACTTAATGGGATAGTCTTCCCAATATCCATCCATTAAATGTTGGTATTCTCTTGGGACTAAGCTCTTTTCTTACTATATATACTCTCCCTGGGTTATCTCATCCATTCCTAGAATTCCAGTAAATACCTATATTAATGATTCCCTAAATCTGCATCTCCAAGCCAGAGCTCTTTCTTGTTGTCCAAAGCTATATTTTGGCTGCCTGCTGAATAACCTCCAGTGGGTTGTGCCCAAGTGGCATTGCATAAAAACATTGAACAAAACAGAATTCATCTTTTAGTGCAAATCTATTTCACTTCCAGCACTGTTCCTTTTCACTGTCTCACCATCTAACCAGTCACTCAACAAACAGTAAACCTGAGACATCCTGGACTCTTCCTTTTTTCTCACTCCACATATCCGAGGCTTTTCATTGAACCTTTAGTGAACATGTACAATGCTCTAGGCATTGCGCTTGGTATTAGAGATACAAAGATGAATAAGTCACACTCCCTACTCTCAAGGAGTTCATAATTTACCAGCAGAGATACACACACAAACAAATAATTGCAAATATAATGTTAAAGGAAGAGATTATGTATAGTAAACATGGGTTCTCACAGGAGAGAGTGGTAAACTTTACCTGGAAAGGTAAAGAAAGGTGTCTGAGAAGAAATGAAAATTTTAGCTGAATTGTGAAGGATGACTAGGACAATGCCAATGGAGGAGGGAAGGGTAAGAAAGAAGAATGTAAGGACATTCCGGGCAGATGAAGTAGCACATGTCAAGGCACATGTTTGTGAAAGAGCACTATACATTTAGGAATTATAGGTAGTTCCAATATTTGCATTTATCCTGCAGGGCAGTGGTTTTCAAACTGCGTTCCTCAGAACCTTAGGGATACTTTAGGGACAGAGATACTGCAGAGTTTCTGCCACTGCAATTTGGATTTTGTTTTAAAAATTATTTTTTATTGTGGTAACATGAAATTTACCATTTTAACCATCTTTAAGTGTAAAGTTCAGTGGCATTAAGTACATTCACACTGTTGTGCAACCATCACCACTATTTAAAATTATTTTAACTATTTTAAAAACTGCATTTAAATGGGCTTACTCCAATGTGCTATATACTAAATGTTAACATGCTGGCGGTCTACCAGTACATTATTTTGTGCATCAAGGTTTATTAATTTTCTGCCATCTTTAAAAATACCTCTATTATTTGTACATATGTCTATTTTGAAAATCTATAATTTAAGGTTGTGGCTTTGCACTAGATTTTTTGCCAGTTCATATGCTCACTCTTGGAAAAATATGCAAGTAATTATACCACTATAGCATGTGAGCTTATAGTAAAACACCAGACAGAGGCAGTTGCTCAATTCATGTGCTCATCACTGCATCACAGTCAGTTGTGAAATACTAAAGAATATGGAACTCAACATGTTAAGATGATATGGTATTAAAGGTGGTTTCACAATCTAAGTGTCCATTGATGGATGAATGGATAAAGAATATGTGACATATATAATGGAATATTACTGAGCCATAAAAAGAAGAAAGTCCTGCATTTTGTGACATGATGAACATTGAGGGCATTATAAGTGAAATAAGTCAGAGGAATAAAGACAAATACTGTATGTTCTCACTTATACGTGAAATCTAAAAAAGCTATACTCATAGAAAGAGAGTAGAATGGTGGCTGCCAGAGGTTGAGGGGGTGGAAGAAATGGGGAGATGTTGATCAAAGGGTATATACTTCCAGCTACTAAGTGAATAAATTTTGGGGATCTTATGTATAGCATGATGACTATAATTAACAGTATCATATTATATACTTGATAGTTATTAACAGAGTAAATCTTAAATGTTATCACTACACACACATACACACACACAAAGATAATTATGTGAGAGAATGGAGGTGGTAAGTAATCTTATTGTGGTAACCATTTAGCAATATATACACATCAAATCATCACATTGTATACCTTAAATTTACATATATGTCTGTAATATCTCACTAAAGATAGAAAAAAAAAGATTAAATAAGATAGTGCAAATGAAGCACTTAACTAATAACGCTAAAAATACCACATGGTTTCAGTGCTTCTTGTAAGCTTTTTGAGTGTTTTGTCAGATATTTATAGTTATTAAATAAAATAAATTTAGAAAAGATATTGTTATTGATCCAAATTTGGATTTAAATATCAAATCCTGAGATTGTAAAATGGGCTATTAAAAATGTTTATAATTTGCAGCTATGTATCAGTATGAATCAGGATTTTCTTGATAATTGATACCAGAACAAATTACAAAAAAAAAAAATAGATGCAAAACCTTAAATAAAATTGTAACTGTCATCAGGAATCCAGTCATGTCATATACTAAGAATTAAGAATGCTCACTGGAGCCTAGTTTGTAACAACAAAAGTCTGAAACCAACCTAACTGTACATTAAGAGGGGAATGGTATAATAAATACAATGACATAACTATACAATATATAGACATGAAAAAGAACACAGTAGAGATGTATATGCCAATATGGTACAATCTCCAACAAATACCATTTTGTGGAAAAAATAAACGGTACAGTAGAACAGAGTACATAGTATGCTTCCTTTGTACAGAAAGAGAGAATATTTAGAAATGTTGCACTGGAGATTTGGGGAAATAGAAAAAAGTTACCTTTCATTATACTGCATTAAAAAAAACTTATAGATTCACAGGAAGTTGCAAAAAAATGTAAAGGAAGATATTGTGTACCATTCACCCAGTCTCCCCCAATGGTAACATCTTTCATAACTATAGTACAATATCCAAACCAGGAACTTAACATTGACACAATCCCCAGAGCTTAATCAGATTTCTCCAGTTTTTACATGTACACTATATGTATGTTTGTGCATGTAGTTTGTGCAATTTAAAAAAAATACTGTTTTTACTGATTTGAGGGAGAGGGAGAGGGAGGGAGGGAGAGAGAGAAACATCCATGTGAGAGAGAAACATCCATCAGCTGCTTTCTGTCTGCACTCACCGAGAATTGCACCGGCGACCTTTTGGTGCATGGGACAACACTCAACCAACTGAGCCACACTTGCCGGGGAGAGTTCTGTGCAATTTTATCACATGTAAAACTTCATGTAACCATCACCAAAATCAAGATACAGGCTCTCTTGTGCTACTCTTTATAGGCACAGCTACCGTTCACTCCTCAATCCCTAATCCCTGGTAACTATTAATCTGCTCTGCCCTGTAATTTTGTTATTTCAAGAATGTATAAATGGCATCACACAATATGTAAACTTTTGATACTGGCCTTTTTTCCCTCCATCAGCATAATAATAATCCATTCAAGCTGTTGTCTGTATCAAAAGTTCATTACTTTTACTGCTGAGTAATATTACCTGGCATGGATGTGCCACAGTTTGTTTAACCATTCACTTGCTGGGGGACATCTGAGTTGTTTCCAGCTTTTGCTTAGTACAAATAGAGCAGCTATAAACATTCATGTACAGGGTTTTCTGTGAACGTACATGTTCTATGGGATAAACACCCAATAGTACAATTACTGTATCATATAGTAAGCACATGTTTAGTTTTAGAAGAAACCATTAGTTCATTTTCCAGAGGGTCTGTACCTTTCTACATTCCCAATGGCAATGTATGAGAGATTCAATTTCTCCATATTCTTGTCAGCATTTGGTATTGTCACTATTTTTTCTTTTAGCTATTCTGAAAGGTGGGCAGTGATATAGCTCATTATGGTTTTCATTTGCATTTTCTTAATGACTAATGATACTGAGCATCTTTTCATGTGCTTATTGCCATCTGTATATCTTCTTCAGTGAAATATCTGCTCATGACCTTTGCCCATTTTCTAGATGGACTGAGTTTTGAGAGTTCTTTATATATTCTAAATACAAGTCATTTGTTGGACACATTGCATTTTTTATCATGGAAAAATTTTATGATATGCAAGTTAATATAAGGAAACTGTGAAAATAAAAACAGCTATGATACTCT